CAAGAAATTTCTTTAATTATCCAGTTAAATGTTTCGGTTCCCTTTCAAATCATTTTTATTCAAACTTTCCAAAATTGAACAAATTCAGAATCAATCCGAAATGTTTATCTAGATAATTAAAGAAAAATTGTATTAGCTCATTTCCTTCTTGTTTTTATATTATTTATTAGAACTTCACATCTTATTTCTTTGAATGAAATTCTTTTTACAAAAACTATAAAAAATACTTAAATTGTATATTTACTTGTTCAAAAAGATGAGCAGTCCAACACTTAAACTTTCCAAGCACAAAAGATCATATCGGTTAGCTGGTATATCAATTTTATAGATGATATCTTCAGATGCATCTGTATCTTGGTTAGAACCTTGTTCCCTTGCTATCATTTGCTTTTCTGTTGTCTGTTCATAAATAATCAAGTAATTATTACAAGACAAAGTATAATACAACTATATAATTGTAAAATAATTGACAGCTCAATACTTACCACCTCATCTAGTTCTAAACCAAATTTAAAACATAAATCTTGAAATTCATCATCCGCTGAAACATAAATTTTTTATAAATTTGCTTTAAAGAAATAACTCTTTCAGTATGATTATATAAATCCAATTTTTTTATATTTTCTAAAAATTTAATATTTATTTTACAATAAATAAAAATAACACACACACAATAATTGTAATAAGGAAATTAATATATGTAGTAATAATTATAGTAATATGTAAAAGATATTTTATATATATTATTTTAATATAACTTGTGATTATATTATAGTAAAAGTTAAATACAAAAATTAGCACGATATATTTATTTCATAAAATTCACGTTTGTTTTTATTTAGATAATAAAGAAGTTACAACTTACAATATGTTTCACCCAATGCTTGAAATAATAAATCACGTTTTATTCCAATAGTTGGCATTTTTATATAAAAGCAATCTCTCGATTTAATCAAGCAAATCCTCAATGTCTTTATCGTTTTTTTATTGAAATATCAGATTTCTTGTCAATTCCCCTAATTTCTCAACTGTTCATCTAATTAATGATCTATATTAGAATTGTTTTTCAGGTTAAGGGATATTATAAAAACTGAATGAATTCAAATAAATTTCAAAAATAATTTATCTAATTATCTAATCTATTGATAATCCTGTTTACACAATAAAGAATCTATTGTTAAAAAGATCGACGTGTACGTCAAATTAATATGTAATTTTATCCTACATATTTTTGGTCAGTACATAAAGGCCATAACATATGAAAAAATTTTGGTCGTAAACGTAAAACCGGGAACACAGGCTTTTGCATAACGCATAAGGAAATAAACCAATCAGAATCCTTCATTTCTGTTATAACTTTTCGTTCTGCAGATCTCGATTGGTTTATTCCGTTATGCGTTATGAAAAAGTCTGTGCTTCCGGCCTTAGGCTGTAAGCAAATCGACCAATCACAATCAAGCATTTGGACATAGTAAAAATTCTTGATTGTGATTGGTCGATGGATAGTATCTTTGTCAAAGATTCGCTGATTGATTAATGCTATTTATATTTTTTTAGTACGCTATTTAGTGCACACTGATTATTTAGAAAATATTTACTTCATATATATGCCCTTTACAAATTGAAAAAAAATATCATCTTAAATCGAGAATTTTTTAAAAATAAATATAAAATTAATTTTATTAAAATAAAATAAATACAATCAATATTAATTTGTTTCTAAATATTCTTTTTTTGTGTTGTGTCTAAAAGAATAAATAATATTCTAGTAGACTCAAAATATATCTAATCTTTATTTTGTAAATAATGCTTTTTTTAAATGATACTTTGCTTGAAACTCATTAACATATACATATGGCATAAAAAAATATTTAAGTTTGTTGCGTTAAAAATGTATCTAGATATAATCAAGACCTTTTCCTCTCATGTTATGTGTTATTACAAAACTTCCAGTACAATAAATTAATTGCAATGCCACTTGTACTTCCAGTATATGCATATGTTGCACAAGAAAATTGAAAATTTTTCATGAATAAAATTAATTTCATGACAATTACTGGTTTTAATTAATTAACGAGTTGATCATTCTGAAATATAAATTACAGCAAAAAGATTATAACTATTAACATCATTAAAGATATAATATGATAAAAGAAGAGATAGAGGGAAAAATGAAGGAGGGATAGAGAAGGGTAGAAAAGAGTAACTTACCCATACAAATAGTAGAAAAATGAAAGTAGATAAAATGCTAGTTTAACCCATCCTTCTCTTTGGTAAACGGACAAATCATAGGCATTCATTATGCTTGTAGGATCGTACAAGCCAGATTCTGTCATCAAAGGCCTGTTCATATATCGCCATACATGATAGGCTATCAGCGGAATATTGATGAACAGTGAAAAATGTTGTTCACTGATTAAAAAGAAAAAATTGATCGCAATATGCAATATATACTCTGGAAGAACTAACTGAAAAAAAAAAGGAAAAAAATATATAACGATTGAACATGATTGTAAACTATAGATAATTTATATATATATATAT